GTATTATCACACAGTGTTTCATTTGAACCAAGTTTTGAGCCAATCCAGATAGCTTTAGTTTTACTAATATTAGGCTTTAAACCGGAAAATTTTGAAAATTGAAAAAGAAGGTCAAGTGCACTTTTTAGACTTTTTTTCTGAGCCATCTAAGAACAGTACTGTATCATCCGCATATTGGAGTAAACAAACTTTTTCCTTTCCTATATTTATTCCTTTAATATTTTTGTTTTGTCTAATCATTATACCCATAATTTCAACACAGAGATTAAATAAATAAGGGGATACAGGATCTCCTTGGCGACAACCTCGTCCAATTAAAAAGAAATTAGAAAAAATACCATTTTGTAAAACACACAGTCTAGCTTTGTTGTATAAAACTGATACCCATTTTATTATATCAGGGCCAAAATTAAACAACTTTAGGGTCCTATACATAAATCGCCATGAAATTGAATCAAATGCCTTTTCGAAATCAATAAGTAATAAGATACCTGGGATCTGTTTTTCAAGAGTATTATGGATTGTATCATAAATAACTCGAGTATTTTCTCCTATAAATCTACCCTGAAGAAAGCCCTTTTGATTGTCATGAATTAAGAAGTCCAAGACCTTTTTTATTCTATTAGCAATACATGAGGAGGCAATTTTATATGATACATTTAGTAACGAAATAGGCCGCCAATTTTTAAGGTACTCTCTTGGCTTATCCCCCTTAGGGAGAATAGAAATAATACTGCTTCTGGGTCAAAGATAATTCCCCTGATATAAATCCATAATTAAGAGTTCTGACTAGAAAAGTTCCCAAATCTTTCAAAAAAAATTTGAAGAATTCAACAGTAAACCCGTCACTTCCAGGACTTTTATTGTTTTTCATATTTTTAAGTGCTGTAAGGGCTTCCTCTTTCGATATCAAACCTTCAAGTTCTGTAGCGGTGTTTTTATCCAATACATTAATATGTTCAGTATTAATAATGCTTTCCAATTCCACATCGTGTAACTTATTGCCCACACATGAGTATAATGCCTTATAAAATCTTTCAATTTCGGATAGGATATCCGACTGTCCAGTGACAATACCATTATCTGTGAGAAGCTTATTTACAGTTTTATTTATATAATTTCTTTTCTCTAGACTAAGAAAATATTTAGTAGGTTTCTCTCCATATTCTATCCATTTAAGCTTGGTTCTAGCAAATAGTCCTTTAATATATTCTTTTCTAATTTCTTCGAGTTTGGTTTGTGCTTGTTTTAATTTTTCAAAAGTGTCTGGAGAATCACTACTATCATTAAGATCACTTTCTAGTTTAATTATTTCTTCCTCGAGAGATTTTCTTTTATTTTCTGTAAGCTTCTTTTTTCTAGATGATAAGGCAATTGTTACTCCCCTTATTTCTAATAACAGTTGTTCAAAAAATAATTGATCATCTATAGTCAAGCATAAATTTTCATCTGATATATTCTTAATTTCTGAAGGCTTATATGGGAGAGCAGCATATTTCTGTTTAACCGTATTTATTGTTTCTTTGACTTTATCAACATCAACCATCATTAAGCAATGAGTTATTAAATTTCCAGAACCCCTTTCCTCTTTCAAATTTACTTAATGAGATGCTAAGTTCAATCATTAAATAGTCTGATCTATAGCCCGGACTTATGTCAACTTTATCGATAAGTGCCATTAATTCATTTGACACCAAAAAATAATCTAGTCTAGCTTTTTTAGTTGGTTTATTTTTAAACCATGTATACCTCTTCCGATTATTATACTTAATTCTCCAAGGATCAACCAGGCCAAGTGTTTCCTTTAAATCCAATACCACTTTTCTAGCTTCTGGGTTATTAGGGCTTTTCGACTTTTGTCGAAAAGACCTATTGTTTTCGTTTTGTTTATTATTAGGGCTTTTCGACTTTTGTCGAAAAGACCTATTGTTTTCGTTTTGTTTATTATTATTATTATTATACTGAACACTTCTATCGTTCAGCATTTAGGGAGTACCTTTAAGAATAGGTATATTATTGTGTTACCACTAAATAGCAAATTAAAATCTCTCGTGCGTGAAACAAGAACAACTTCCGGAATAGTCACTTCCGGTTTCTACTAAAGGAAAACTGAAAATTCTTAAGGAGCCGAAAACATTTTTAATTTTAGTGTCTAGAAACCCAAATTTGAGATTTGATATCTAGAGACATTATCCAATAAAAAAGTACGCGTACGTAATTTTTGAACACAAATACTTTTCGAGATATAAGACTTCAAACATTGAAGAAGGGGGGATGAAATTTTTGAAAGTCACAATTGCGTCTCCAAAATTATTTTGAGCATAGAAATATGTTAGAACTAATTAGTAGAACATATACTGAAAGTTTCATGTCAATCCGAAAAGAACTTCCGGTTTTATGACCCTTAAAAGTTTTCTTTTAAAATGAAATTAATCGTGGCGCATTTTCTACTAAAGTATTCAAGATTTTCCTGTTATATTTTGTATACAGAATGACTTTGATACACTTCTGACATCATTAAAGTATGAAATTGAAATTTTGGAAAATAAGGGATTTCTAGGGGCCAACTTTGAAAACAGACCATTCCCTGTAACTTTTTTATTTCTCAATGAATTTTCAAACAGTTTTCAGATTTGACTTAAGCATACAAAGGACAGTCTAAAAATTATGGTCCGTGGGGTCACTTTTTGACCCCTTATAGGAGTTTTAGAGTCCTGAAATATTGTATTTTTTAGTTTTTTCATAAAATGATAGTGTAAGAGTTATCTCCCTTTGTCAATCTGTTTATAGTGTAATATTCTTTTTATGTTTCAATTTTGGTATGTATATGAAAATTACTTCCGGTTTTATAATATCCTTAAAATTCCCTATGGAGATTTCTATGTTAAATTTGAAATCACGTTTGTTTTTTTATTTCAAAAGTACAGCATGCAATTCTTGTGATATTTCACATGAATAATAATTTTTGTACTATCTTTAAGGGGTTTGGTCATGAAAACAAAGTTCCCAAAAATAAAAGGGATTTTAGGGGCCAGAATAGAAAAACAGTTTTTTGACTGTAACTTTTTTATTTCGCCCCATATCTTCAAATTTATTTCGGTTTTGAGTTAAGCATAAGAAGGACATTTAAAAAATTTTGGTCCGTGGGGTCACTTTTTGATCCCTTATAGGACTTTTAGAGATCTGAAATATTGTATTTTTCAGTAGTATCAAAAATAATTGTGCAACAGTTATCTCCCGTTGTCCACCTTTCTGGAACCTAATATTTCCTCTATGTTTCAATTTTGGTATGTTTATGAAGAGTACTTCCGGTTTTATGAGTCCCTTAAAATTGTCTATGGAGATTTCTATGTTAAATATGAAATCATACAATGTCCCATATCTCAAAAATGAAGTAAGCAATTCTCGTGATATTTCACATGAATAATGACTCAATCATTGTCTACAGTTTGTAAGTTCATGGAAATAAAATCCCTTAAATAGAAGGGACTTTATGGGTAAGTACAGAAAACAGCTTTTTCTCTTTAACTTTTTTTTTATTTCTCAACCAATTTTCAAACTAATTCTGGTTTTGCATTAAGCATAAGGAGTACAGTTAAAAAAATTACAGTCCGTGGGGTCACTTTTGGACTCCTTATAGGAGTTTAATTGGATTGAAATCTTAGTACATTTTGTATGTTTTAAATATTTATGAAAAGAGTTATTTCTCTTTGAGGTAGACACTGGTGGACAAAGAGAATTGTTATGTTTTCGTTTCAGAATTGATCTCAAAAGAACTTTGTGCGATATTGTATTATTTGATATTTATTTTTACTGTGTAATATAAGACTCTTCTTTTTAAGGGGTCGAAAAGCCCTCCGTTTTTGTTGAACGACAAAAATAAGGTCTAGTTTATTATTATTATTATTATTATTATTATTATACTGAACACTTCTATCGTTCAGCATTTAGGGATACCTTTAAGAATAGGTATATTATTTTGTAACCACTAAATAGCAAATCAAAATCTCTCGTGCGTGAAACAAGAACAACTTCCGGAATAGTCACTTCCGGTTTCTACTAAAGGAAAACTGAAAATTCTTAAGAAGCCGAAAACATTTTGAACTTTAGAGTCTACACTCCCAAATTTGAGATATGAATTCTAGAGACATAATCCAATAAAAAATTGCGCGTAGGTAATTTTTTAACACAAATACTTTTCGAGATATAAGACTTCAAAGATTGAAGAAGGGGGGATGAAATTTTTGAAAGTCACAATTACGCTACAAAAATTATTTTGAGCATAGAAATATGTTAGAACTCATTAGTAGAACATATATTGTAAGTTTCATATCAATCAGAACAGAACTTCCGGTTTCATGGGTCTTGAAAGTTTTATTTTAAATTGAAATTAATCGTGGAACATTATCTCTTAAAGTATTCAATATTTTCTTGTAATATTTTGTATGCAGAATGACTTTGATACTGTTGTGACATCATCAAATTATGAAATTGAAATTTTTGAAAATAGGGGATTTTTAGGGGCCAACATTGCAAACAGACCTTTGCCTATAACTTTTTTATTTCTCAATGAATTTTCAAATAGTTTTCAGATTTGACTTAAGGTAGAGACCGATAGAAATCACGTGATAGAAAGAATTCGCATATTTGCACGTGCTTTTTTTCCGGATTCCGGAACGCCGTCAAATAAAAGTTTCCATTTACACATTATTGTCTATGCTACAAGATGGCCGACGAAGCGATCGAGAAATTTCCTCGACTTAAAATACAAAGTTATCATACGTAATAAATCTTTACGGTTCACGAAATTGAAGCATCTTCATGAGAATCAAAATAGAAGTGAGACTGAAGCCGACCATGAACATAATTTTGGTGAAACTACTCCTTGTCCAGTGTCCGCTTCAGCACCACGTGGGTACACCGGTGTCGATCAGTGCCTGATGTTGTTTTCTCAATTCTGTATAGACATGTTAAAGACTATGACCCTACAGATGTTAATTGGTGTTACGGAAGAAGTAACATTTTTGCAGAACAGATTTTTTGTATGCTGTGTCCGTGTCAGATACATAAGGTGAATATTTACGACTTAGTATATCGATCATGGCTATGGTGCTTGTTTGTTTACGCACATGTCTGGTACAACCAGTATATTTAACCAATAACCTTCATAGAAGATTTTTTCCCTTCTAAAGTAGTTTTATTTAGCTAAAAATCAAAACATTTCATGACCAGACTGTAACTTCTAGAATAGAAGAATAAAACCGGACATTTCTGGTGTCAGAACATGATGTAAAAAATGTAAAGTAATCATACTTATCTGTGCCTAACACACGAGGCGGTGTTTAGTTACTAGGATCAAAAAATGAAAAAAAAAAAAAACATATTTTGCTTAAATTGTTCAAATGCAGAAATGTGTAAACTTTCTCTGCTTTAGATGACAGATGCTTTTTAATTATTATAACCCCTTTTATAAATGATAGTGGACATTTACTTGCAAATCTTTTGTCTTTTTTAAAAAAAAAAGAAACAACTTTAGGATCAAGTGACAAAAAATAGGGTCAGTCGGGTAGCAGGAAACAAGACTATTTTTATTTAGTCTTATGTAATATTTATGTACCTGTAATAAATTTATGTATGTATTTGTTTTATGCTCAAAAGGGCCCTGATTATAAACGGATATCATATTCATAGATTATAAAAGAAATATTTAATACTACAGGTGAAGCAAGCTATATGAACTAGACAGTGTATTCAGCTTTCTCTGCTGAAATAATGTGACCAAATCAAGTGTCACCTGGAAAGAGGAATGTCAAGGGTGCTTTTTACATTAACTCCAAAATAGCCGTTGGTTTGTATTTTTTTCTTTCAATTTACACTTGCACATGTATCCAGGGAAAATCCAGAATTTTTTTTCAAGGGGGTGGTAAGGAGGTATTTTTAATACCTGTATTAAAAATTTAAATTTATGATTTTTAGTCCTTGTATTTTTAATTTAAACACCATAATGTACATACAGTATTATTGTATACATATAGAAGCATTCTCTTAAGTCAATAATTTCTCAAAGATCATATTAATATTTCAGGAAAGTTCAAGCCAGATCTGCTACAGCAAACTGAACATAAAGTTGCATACTTGTGTGTCAGGAAACGAGGAACATGTATGGCTGGACTGAGAATCTAACCGGGGATCCCTGCATCACTACTTACATGTAGGTGCTCTATTGACTTAAATACATGCATGGTTAAATATTTGTGTATAAACATATAAAAAGTCATGAAGTAAATTGAATTCAAAACTGAATAACCAAAAAAAATGTAAAATGTAAAGATGTTTTCTAATTTGAATGAAATTATTTCAACTAAAGCACCAAAGAATTGGTATAATAATATGAAGAAAGTCAGTATTGTTAAAAAACTTGTAATTCTCATGGTTTTTTAACAATATTAACCTATTCACATTATCATAGCTAAATTTGCAAAATAAAACAAAATTGTTTAAAATAAATTACCAATAAGAAAATGTCAACAAAGCAGTGGCAATTCGCAAAATTTTGAAACGTAAAAATTAATAAACACCATTTTGACCCGATTTCGCAAAATAAAATCGACGTAAAAATTTCCAGATTTACGGTATTACTTTGATTATCTGATTAAACAAGTGAGGATTTTTTTCAATGAAATTTTTTTAGCTTGTTGGAATACCAGTTCATCAAGTGATATTGAAACATCTTAATATGTTATCTCTGTGTATAGTGATTAGTTTTGTTAGTTTATTTCTAAAATTCCAATTCAAAACCAATTAGACAGGAAAACAATAATCATCCCAAACTGTTAAATTATCTCCTCTCTACTTAGATTTATCTTGTACCTACTTCCAGTGTAATCTCTTTACAATTGACCTTGAGCTGAAGTGAAGGGTTATGATATAACAACAATTGAAGTGTCTCCACAATACACACTGGGCTGTAAGATAAGGCCAGGCTCTTCCTATAGTACAGGGAAGTTGTTTATATTGTACTGATTTGTTGTTTGTTATTTCAGCCCCTGGGTGGACAAGTATGAAGAGGTGTACGAGAACTTGTACTCCCAAGATATTCTCCACTCGTTTTTGGCAGACAAAATTAATGGTGTATATGTAAGTAACATATTGAATTACGTTCAGAATGGAATCACTCTCTCTTTCAAACAGAACCTTGTTAAGGTGAAATTTCTCGATAAAGTATCTACTCAAATATAATGTTCAGTATTTTAACATTAATTTTTGTTTTGTCATTTTAAGCCTCCGGACAATAACGGGAATGGAGTGGGTGGCAAACTGCGGGTTCAGTTATGTCATGTTACAGAGGTCAACAAGAATCGCAAGGTACGGTGATATCACTTATTTTCATAGGGTTTTATTTTCAGTGTTTTCGTGATATGGAGGCACCCCCTAGTATATGGTCAGATTGAAATGATAAAATTTTTAATTTATACAACACTACACTAATCAGGAAATCAAATTCCCTCAAACCTACATTTTTACCTCACTAATGCTAACAAAAAAGCTATAATAACTGATAAACCATTAATTGTTAGTGATATTTAATTTAGCAACCATTTAGTACCCCTCACTAGAAATGCCAAAATTGAAACCTTGCTAAAAATTCTGCTTATACTTTATTAATATACTACTTGAAGGTTTTAATAATTAAATCAGTCAAAGATGTATGTTTGTGGTACATGTACACAATGTTCCTGTTGTTTTCTTTAGGGATTGGAGGCAATGGAGACAATTGGAGAGGGAGAACCAGTTGTAGAATACATTGGACAAGTCATGTATAGAGACCAGTTTAATAAAGATAACTTCTATAAACGGTCAGTCACAAGGAATGAATTAGAAATACATGTAATATTAATTAGAATATTTATTTAAAGGATAAGGAGAAACCCCAACTGATGTAATGTAATATTTGGAACAAATGGGTCTTCACCTATTTCACTGCTTCTAAATAATTGGAATAAGACCTTGACCTGTGATATTTTTCTTGCAGATTAAATCCATTTGTGTTGTTCTACTCGAATTATGATGGGATGGACATCTGTATAGATGCGACTTCATACGGGAACATAGCTCGCTTTATAAGACGATCATGTAAAGCTAATGCTGAGGTAATAAATTACATACGAGTACTATAAACAAAATATTATTTGTGTCATCTTTTATTTATGAATTGACAGTTTAAAATCAATCCGCAACAATTAATTATCACAATTTAGGAAACACTCTCTACAAATTTTAAGCAAAATAAATGGTTCAGGGGGATTAATATTAGCAATTTAAAGTTGGTTGCGAAACTAGCAAATATTTTTCGCACGCGAATAAAAGTTGGTTTATAGTATGCAAACAGAAAGATTTTTTGCATTCAAAATATTTGGAATCTCATTTGAAAACAATGTAAATTGAGTCTTAATTGTTTTAGGTGAGGCATGTTATTCAGAATGGCCAGATGAATTTCTACATATATTCAACCAAGGTGATTCCTAGGGGGTCAGAAATTACCATCCCGTATGACTACAGTTATAAAGACTGGTAAGAAAAAAACGAGCCTATTGTTATATACACATTTAGTTAAAGGCAAGATGCTCTATTAAGTGAAATGATGTATTAACCAACCTTCATTCTTTAATCATTTTAGTACCTATTGTGTTGAGTGTGCCTGCTTGAGAAATAACTGCCCTGTTGCCAAGTTCTTCAAGAAGAGAATGAATAATCTCAAGTAAGAAGCTTTCAAGTTATAGAGGAGGAAAAAAAGTGTTGATATTGAGTTGAAAAGATTGGAAAAAATAAAATTGCATGCAAGGTTAACTTAATTTGCTCTCAAAGCTTAAATAAATCAAATGTTGATACTAAGTTTAAATAGGAAGCTGAATAAATTTGCATGCAAGGTTAACTTTATTTTCTTTCTATGCTTAAACTGTATTCAGATCTTAATTATTTGCTTAACAGGAAAGAAAAGTCACCACAGAAGATGCCAAAACTACCAGTCAAGTCTCCCATCAAACTACAGATTAAATCCCCTGTCAAAAAGTCTGTGGAAGAGTCTATGTTTCAATTTTGGTATGGATATGTAGAGTACTTCCGGTTTTATAAGTACCTTAAAATTGCCTATGGAGATTTCCATGTTAAATTTGATATCATACGATGTCCCTTATTTTCAAAGGGAAGCAAGGAAGTCTCATAATATTTCACATGAAAAACTACTTTAGCATTGCCTTTCGGTGCTTAGGTCATGAAAATAAAATTTCTTAAAATAAAAGGGATTTTAGGGGTCAGTACAGAAAATAGTTTTTTGTTTATTACTTTTTTATTTGTCCATAGATCTTCAAACTGATTTCGGTTTTGAGTTAAGCGTAACAAGGGCAATTTAAAAATAATGGTCCGTGGGGTCATTTTTTGATCCCTTATGGGTTTTGTAGAGACCTGAATTTACGTATTTTTAAGTAAATTTAAAAATAAAGATGCAAGAGTTATCTCCCTTTGTCAATCTGTTTGAAGTGTAATATGCGTTCTATGTTTCAATTTTGGTATGTATATGAAGATTACTTCCGGTTTTATAAGTTCCTTAAAATTGCCTATGGAGATTTCTATGTTAAATTTGAAATCACGTTTGTTTCTTTATCTCAAGAGTACACCAAGCAAATTTTGTGATATTTCACATGAATAATAATTTTTGTTATACCCTTATAAATATCCTTCTATATATTTGTTACTAATAAAAAGTCCAACAAAAGAAATGTTTATTACGTCGGTCTAACAATTTCACTATTGACCGGTCTTACATAAGAATTGTTAGACCGCAACGTCACTTGTCTGTTACGTCACAATTAATAATCATCGTTCAATATCGGCGACGCGAAAATAGCCGAAGTTAAGAGCTATTAAGAGTTGTTGCTAACAGCAA